ACAGCCACTAGAGTGGCCTATACAATCCTATGGAGATTCTTAAAGGAACACTCCACTATTTTTTAAAATAGGCTCATTTTCCAACTCCCCTAGATTTAAACAGTTGAGTTTTACCGTTTTTCGAATCCATTCAGCCGATCTCTGGGTCTGGCGGTAGCACTTTTAGCTTAGCTTAGCATAGATCATTGAATCTGATTAGACCATTAGCATCTCGCTCAAAAATGACCAAAGAGTTTCTATATTTTTCCTATTTAAAACTTGACTCTTCTGTAGTTACATCGTGTACTAAGACCGACGGAAAATGAAAAGTTGCGATTTTCTAGGCCGATATGGCTAGGAACTATACTCTCATTCCAGCGTAATAATCAAGGAACTTTGCTGCCGTACCATGGGTGCAGCAGGCGCAATGATATTACGCAGCGCCTGAAAATAGTCCCCAGTTAGGAAACATAAGGAGATGCTAACGGTCTAATCAGATTCAATGATCTATGCTAAGCTGCAGCTAAAAGTGCTACCGCCAGACCCGGAGATCGGCTGAATGGATTCCAAAAAGGTAAAACTCAGCTGTTTAACTCTAGGGGGACAAAAATAGTGGAGTGTTCCTTTAAAAAAGCTACTTAATAAGACTAACAAACTATTCTGATATTTTTTTCTGGCCTGATTAAAACATGAAGCACAATGAGCTCAGCATACTGCTGTTTGAAGTGTGTATTGTTGCTTAACGCCTTGTTTTTCAAACTATGTACTGTATACTACATAGTATATACTATGTAGTATGCAGTACGTAGCTAATATTCCACTCAGCGCATTTCCCTCTCGACTAATCATTTGATTGGATTGGCAAAAATGACCTTTTTTAACATTTTAATTCCAAAATAAGTGGCTGGATTAAACAAGGAATGTAAATGAAAAGTTTACAATTGTATAATGCGGACGACTTCGTGTTACTTAAAAAACCGTATGCACTAATGCAGCATGCTAGTATTGTATTCCAAAACAGCCATTTAAGCGGCACGGAAACGTGCAACCGAGCGACGCCTCCTTAAATCTCCTACTAGTGGCGGGCTGCGCATCTCGCGCATTCCACCTTAAAAGCGCTCAATAAATGATCAACGCACGCGTACAGTATGTTTCCGTTTTTTTCTCTTTCTCTCCAGCGCACTCGCGCCGCGGCTCGAAAGACTGCGAGCGTCACGTCGAAGGCAACACTGACGCACTTCATCCACTCTATCAAGCTTGAAGCCCATTAGGAATAATGTCTGAGCCGTACCGCGAATGGATCCTGGGCTCCATAGACTCACTGAGGTCGAGAAAAGCTCGACCGGACCTGGACAGAATTTGCAGGATGGTCAAAAGACGACACGGCTCGGACTGGGACCGAACCCGGTCAGAACTAGAGAAACTGATAGAGGAGCAAACGGTGCTGAAAGTCAACTATAAAGGCTCGGTTTCCTATCGCAACGCGGCAAAGGTGCTACGAGGCAGGAGAAAACCCGAGCAGAGCAAGTGTGCGGTGAAACAGCCTTCTCTCGCGGACTGGAGCACCGGCGACAGCGCTCTGGGTCCCGTGGATGAGGATCACATGGAGGATATGGAAGTAAGTGCACCAAGCAAGCGGCTGCGCTCCGGCTAAAACGAGATGCGAAATGTCAAGTATAGGTGTTTTTATCACTAGTTGAAGTGTTCTGGCGAATGCAACATGAAAGCAAGTGCACACGCGCACACACACAGACACGCGCGCGCGCAGACGGGGAGCGGCACGAACCTTCATGAGCGTCGGAAAATCGCCAACAATGGAAGCGCTTGATCTGCGAGGTCGAAATCTTTCAGAGCGAGTTTTTGTGTGCGCTGGATGAGTCCGGTAACTCAACTTTCGCGATGAAATCCTTTGCAATGAATCCAAACTCGCTTTTCGCACAGCGGGGGAAAGTCACCAAAACATCACGGATCAGCCGACTGACGCATTTCGCACAAAGAGCGACGCTGGAGACGATTGCATTAGCGATTGTTTACTGGCGAGAGACTGTTTTTTTGCACTTGTGCGCGTCGTGACCGAGCCAATACGACAATTTATAAGGATCATCGAAGCGCAAGTCATTAGACGGGCTGCTAGATGATCCTTTATAACGTGCACGTGAAGTGCGAACTAAGTCGTTAGTGGGGCTCGTGAACTTGCCGTACTTATTAATCGCGGGTGAACAAAGGCGAACGTTAGTTTTCGGATGTGTTTTTTTTATGGAGAAAATGTCGGCTTTAGCCACGTTTAACATTGGCTTGCTTTGGGACGCGCTTGTCTCAGACAAGCAAGCAGCGCGCCTCGGAGCGAAGCGGGGCGGGTTCATGAATATTAACTAGGCTGCGTGAAGTTCGCCAGTGGCGTGCCTCATTAATATACATGAACTCAACACGCTCCACTCTCAGGCGCTGACGTTCCTCACGTAACTTAATATTCATAAGCCCGCTCGCTTCATTCTGATGCGGCTGAGGAACATTGCGTAATTAATATTCATGAGCCCGCCCAGTTTATCTCTTAGGGCGCGCTGATGCCTGCCGCCGGAGAACCGCGAGTCCGAGTTCAGCAAACTCTACGTATTGTCCCTCATACTGTATGAATAAATGATTTCGATGTGCTCCCTACTGTTAGTAACGTTCCGGACACCATCGTGCCAACCGAAACCAGCGTTCAAAGCGTGCGAAGAGGAATTTCTGGCTCACTCCTGTCTGAATAAACAGTGCGCGCGGCCTCCAGATACTGAAACTCGAGTCGACCATAATCCAGTTTTGCAGTGCGACGGATTGAGCATAAACACAAAGTGCGGTAGTCGATATCTGTTCGTTTAAATGTAAAATACTGCTACATTCTAGCATTGCTAATCATCATGAAGTCCTGTTTAAAACCCCTCTATGCGTGCTAATAGATGTTTTCTTATTCGTCATGCTTTTTAGTGAAAATATTCCTGGGCTGTTGAGGCGTCTGCCCATTACATAGTTTATTACTTCAGAAAAATGTAAACCGTTAAACAATTTGGAAACAAAACAGTTTGTGAAACAAAAAGGGATAACATAACAAATGAAAAACTGCAGCGTTTAAAACACACAACAACTTGGCCCAAGAAAAATGGAGACATTTATGTAAAACCTCCTTTGCCCCGAGAACACAGTTCAACATTTCAGATTCAACCATTCAAAATCTGCCTTCATTGTAGAGTTGACTCAGTCATTCTTCTTGTGTTCAGTCATTTAATAGTGAAAAACTAAGACTGTACTTGAATGTCAGTTTAAAGGATAAATTCACAAAAATGATACAAATTTAAAATGAGATGATTGAAACCACTGCATTTTTGCAATTTTGGACTTTTGACTTGAAACCTTGTAATTGTAGAAATACGCCGCTCCAAATCAAAGTAACAAGGTTTTAATCTAGCCTATATTTAGGGAAATGTTCGGTATTATTTTAAAAACAATATATATAATTATTTATACACTACCGTTCAAACATTTGGGGCAAGATTTTTTTTAAATGTTTTTGAAAAAATTATTTTATGCTCACCAAGGCTGCATTTATTTTTATCACAAATATATTATTTTCTCATCCAGTCACATGATCCTTCAGAAATCATTCTAATATGCTGATTTGATGCTCAAGAAACATTTTTATGATTATTAATGTTGAAAACAGTTGTGCTAATTAATATTTTTGAGGTAACGGTGATACATTTTGATACATAAAGTCTCATAAAACTTTAGAAACACTGTTTCAAATGGCACACGTGGTGCATTTAGTTGATTCCTCAGGTTTTGTATGCAGTACTGGCAGTGATCAAAGCACCTGTCTAAAAATGATGATGATGATAAATAATAATGCTGCGATCTTTTTAGGACGAGATGTCCACGACAGCAGGAATGGACAGCAGTATGGATGAGGAGGGGGATGAGAGCAGTCTGGATGCCATGTGCGCTCAGAGCACCGCTGACTCGGGCATCAGCATGAGTCCCATCACCAGCAGTAACACCAGTCAGCCTGTTCCCTCACCCACGTCCTCAAAGAACTCTCCTACCCATGATGCTCTGAGGCAGGACGCCGACAGCACCTACATCCTACCTGAGCACATACAGCCAGCAGCCCAGCAGGACACAGGTACTCAAGTCCTGTTGGTTATTTTATCTTTTCTCAAGATAAAAAATACCAAACAAACCAGTATTTAAATCGAGATAGTAATTAAAATAAATGAGTTAAAGAGGTCTTTTGAAACTGTACTTAACCAGTGATCTACAAGTTAACATGTTAGCATTGAATGGTTTTACTGTGGTCCTGGCAGCCTCGGGTAGACTTTTTCAGTTTACGTAATTGTTTGAGAATCAGAGGGAGTCTGATCAGGTGAATCCAAGGGGTCAAGGTTTGGCTTGTTAGTGTAGTATCATTCTCCCCTGTGGTAGATATTGTAACTATGCTGTTTAGCAGACACATCAGGATTTCACCCGACCTTTCTTTGATTTTCCAAAATGACTGAATTTGACAATTTCTTTTTGCAGTGAAAACCCACTGATAATCATGACATAATATGCGAATAGGGATTATTATTATTATTTTATTTTATTTATTTATTCCAGAATTTATCAATTTATCTGTTGTGGTCCTGGCCCTCATTTTCTAATATTGTTTTTGCAAACTTTTACAGCTTGCATTATTGCATTTATTTGAAATATTAAAAACACGCATATCTAGTAAAATAATGTACTTTTGTAAATCTATTGGTGAAATCAAGCATTATGAGAACTAGAAAATGTACTGCAAAACAGTGGCAGACTGGCAGGACAGTTGAACACGTAGCGATTCATTTATTTGGGCTCAGAATTATGGATTTTGATTCGCTAATATTGACTCGCTCCTCAGGTTGAGTTTTTTTTAAATGTAAAAATTGTAGAAATAAGACAGGAATGCAAGCTGCCACAAATAATGCAACAAATTGTTGAATTTGCTTTTTTTTTTTTTTACTCAAGAATCAACTCAAGAACTCAAGGGCCATTTAAAAGTATGGATGTTTTTGCAGTATATTAAAATGTAAAATATTGCAATATATTTTACCAGTGGCCTCCTTATTTATTTATTTTTGTGAAAGAGCTTTGAAGCGTAACTTATTTTTCCCTGTCGTCGCAGATGTTCGCATGATGATTGTGTAACCAAATATTTTTTCCTGGAGCTCTCCTACACTTATATATTTATATAAAATAAGCAAGTAGAGGCACAACAATCTGTCTTTCTTGAATATACATCTTTTTCTCACTGAAGCCTGAATAGACAAACATACAAAAACACAATTTGACAGTGTAAAGTTATTGCATCCATCAGTGTGTTACAATTCCTGTTCTTATTTCGTTCATTTTCTGCCTAATTCAGGCATTGCAATGCATGTCAAGGAGTTGGATAGTTTAATAATTGTTGATAATGACAGACCTCCATCAGAAGAAGCCACGATTTCAGCAAAAACAGTCGCTAGATGTGCAAGACATCAACCTACAGAGATTTGAGTTGGCAGTATCTGTCATTGTGACCCACAGGATCTGTGGCGCTCATGCAGCAGCCAGCGGCCATCTGTCTCTCCACTCTTCAGGCCGAGGAGGAGAGCGCGCTCACCCCTGATACGCTGCTGTCAGACTGCACAGCCACGCCGGTAAGCATGTCCACCCTGCGCTTCCAATCACAGCACATCTGTCGTGTTCCTCTGTGTCATATTGTGTCCGTCTGTCATCAGGACGAGGCGGTGATGTCAGATGGAGGGCCTCACGCTGGGTCTGATCCTGTTGAGGAGGGTGAGGATTCTGCCTGTGCTCTTTAAATTTCACACCGTATCTGTCAACACATTGGATGTTAAATTTTTATTCGAAACTGTGCTTTCTCAGGTGAAATGTGCGCCAAAAGCACAACAGAGGAAGAAACTGTTAACAGTGGAGGGATGAATAATGGAAAGTGAGTAAAAACCAAATTTGTCTTTGTATCTTTGGTAATAAACTCTAAAAAAAATTGAGACTTAAAGTTGTAGAGTGTCATTTCTGTGGCATCAAACACAATAACTGTAATGTTATCAAACACTTTGTCCACTGGATTATATATTGTTGATGTGTTATGAAAAAAGGTCTAGTCCGAGTTGCTCTTAAGCTTTGAGGGTTTAATCTGTTTTTGTTCACTCTCAGTGATGTGGTAAAGACAGAAATGGGGCAGGACCCTTTGCTTTGGAGCGTGGCCGATGTGGCCAGTTACTTCACGTCTGTGGGTTTCCCCGAGCAGGCGCTGGCTTTCAGGACACAGGTTAGTACTGTAGTTAACCAAATCTGTCTTGTCATATTTTAACCCAAAGTCTGTTGATCCATTTGTGCTTTTTGTATAATAAAAAAAAATCTACAGATTATTAGGAAGTGTACTAGTGAGTGCAGATCCTACTTTTTTAATTTGAAGTCATTCCGATTTTTATTGATCTATGCACCCAAAGAATTGGTGTAGCACAGCGATTTCACATCTTTTATTTTTCATTTGAACACAAAGCCCAAATAAAAACACATAAAAAATGATTTTGAAAATGAAAATGAAATCTTAATTTTACAATGCAGAAGATGTTATTTTCATGGAAATAAAATAATGTGCAAGACATTTCTTTAATTGATGCTGATTTTAGGCTTCCCACGGCCCTGGAAAAACAATTGTCAGGACGTTTTAAATTGCTATTTCCAGGCCAGGTAAAGTTAATGGAAATTAATAAAATGAATGCAATTTCTGTAGTGACTATATATTTTTCTAGTTATGCTCAGCTCTGAAATATTCAAATGCAATTTCAATAAGTGATTTAAAAAAAAAATCTAATTCACGAGTCTGAAATGAATGGAAAATCTGAGAGAATTCAAGGTACGGGAACACTTTAATAATAATAATAGTGCTGTCAAACGATTAATCGCGATTAATCGCATCCAAAATAAAAGTTTTTGTTTACATTATATATGTATGTGTACTGTGTATGTTTATTATGTATACATAAATACACACACATACAGTATATATTTTGAAAATATTTACATGTATATACATTTATATATTCATATTCTTATATTTTATATTATATATAAATATATTTAATATATAAACATAACATATTTTTTCTTAAATATATACATGCATGTGTTTGTATTTATATATACATAATAAATATACACAGTATACACACAAATATTATGTAAACAACTTTTATTTTGGATGCGATTAATCGCAATTAATCGTTTGACAGCACTAAATAATATTAATTTTAAAAAGCATTTCTGCAATAAGAGTCACCATTGGAAAACAACAATAGGAATACAATAATGGGAATTACAAGCACCCCTCAAAAGTAAAACATCTGTACGCATAATGATAATGAAAATATCACTTTATTCTGGACATATTTTTCACCAAAAACAAGGAATTCCAACTTGTTGAGCTTTTAGAGTAGTTTTTGGAAATAGAACTTGTCTGACAAAGAGTTATATGGTGATTTCAAACAAACCTTGTGATACTTAACTACTTTTATCAATAGACATTACTTAAAATCATATGTTTTATTTTATAAGATAATTATGTGAATAATTTGGCTAAGAAAATCTAAAATGTGCACCAGTGATTGAGAAATCATTGTGATATTGCTGATTTGCTGCTAAAGCAATTATTATCAATGATGAAAACAGTTGTTCTGCTTTATATTTTTGCGGAAACCGTGACACTCCTTTTTTTTTTCAGGATTCTTTGATGAATAGAAAGTTCAAAAGAACAGCATTTATTTGAAATAGAAATCTTTTGTCTTTACCGTCACTTCTGATCAATTTTTTTGTGTCCTTACCTATATATATATACCGATATATCTTTACTTTAAACAGGAAATAGATGGGAAGTCCTTACTGCTGATGCAGCGCAGTGACGTGTTGACTGGTCTGTCGATCAGACTCGGCCCTGCACTTAAAATCTATGAGAATCATGTGAAGGTGCTGCAGAGAAGCCACTTTCAGGACGACAGCCGTCTCTTCTCATAGTGCTTGTGTTTTCAGCGAAAACAGACTGAAATTCTCCTGGCTCAGAGCGCTGGTCACAAAATGAGGGGAAACGTTAACTCTTTAAGACTTGATTTGCACAATCCTCCTCAGTTTATCTTCTCTTCTTCTGTGTGAGGACATGCCGCATGATTCAGCCCTGCAGTCTGTTCTTCTGTTCTGTCGGTGTCCTTCAATCCATCCGTCACAGGGCTGACGGGACCATTCGTCTTAGTGGAAGTGTTTTTGTTTTTTTCTACGGTGGAGCTTTTCATTCACCAGTGTTTTTTCCTTCTGTTTTTGTCAGATATGATTTATAGTGTCGCAATATTATGTAAACCTTGTTCTTGTCCAATTAAATGTTCGATGTTCAGCGATGTTTTACTGCAGTCTTGAAATGGACATGCAATGTTAGGAAATAAATTCCAGTTTCAGAATCTGCATCAATCTTTTCTGTTATGCATTTTGCCTGCCAAGCAGAGATATGAAGTGAGTTACTGATGCTTTGATTCCAGCACTGCACAGCCAGTACATTTACTTTGACTGAAGCGCTCATATTGGCATATATTCATAGTATATATCTCATATTATTCATAGTGAGATACAAAGCATAGTTGACTGTGAATCAAAAAAGAAATTACACTACAGTTCAAAAGTTTGATGTCAGTAAGTTTTTTAATTAATACTTTTATTCAGCAAGAATGAATACCAAACTTACTTTCTTATGCAAAATATAATATAACCTGAAAAATTCTTAAGAAGTTTCATTAGATTCATCCAAGCCAATGTCATAAAAGCTTACCATAAGTATATGCACTTAAGAAGAACAATAGCATAACATTGTTGACATGTTAGATGCATTACTTGGAAATACATCAGTCAGAATATCTGCTACGTACAAATTAGCTTTAGTCATTTTCGAAGAAAAGAAAAATAGAGTGTGTTATATTTACCTCAAAGGAACCGAATTGCCCTTTAATTCACATCTCATCACGACTGAAGCTCTCAGACAAAAAAAAAGAGTCACTTTTTATTTCTAGGTTGTGGTACTTTTTCTGCTAATTGTATATCTTTTTATTTCCTTAAATTTGAACAATTTTTTTGTATTCATGTAAACAATAAAATATATATATATTTTAAATGTATTATTATTATTAAAATAGAATGGCTTTACTTGACAAGTGCATTACAGTATCATAATTTACTATGGTTATTTCATACATTAATATATATTAAGACTTGCTTTATATATATATAAACTAGTAAAACACTGACTTATATTTGTTCTGTTGATCTTATTTTTAGTGTTGTATTTTCCTGCTACAGGATGAATGGTAGGATAGGGGAGCGCAGTGTGGGATACTCTTTGAACTCCTTCAGGTAGCTGCGATGCTTTCCTTTGGCCCAAACGGTCATCTGTATGAATCCCACCACAGTGAAGAACAACACAGGGACACACTGGGTCATGAGTGTGAATCCGAGCCAAGATCCCAGCTACAGAAGTACAGCAACCACAGGGCAGCTTTAGTGTCTGTTATTTACTCAATGTGACCAGTAGGGGTCAGCATTTCATTGTCTGTTCACACAGGGCACATACTTGTCAAGGAGGTCTACAGAGTGCTGCGGGGATGACATTTTTGTAGGCCAAAATCTGGAAATGAGTTTGAATTTTAGTTCTTCTGGTTCCACTGTCCCAAAGTCAATGGTTTTTTTGTGAAATGCCTGAAATGAGGTCTGTTGTTCACACAAGCTCAAGATATTTTCATGGTTTATTCCATGACCTAAAATACATCAGTTAAATCCCCTTGTGATTTTTAAAAAAAAGTTTTGTCTTGAATAAATGACAGTTGCTAACAAGTGGCTAAATGGGAGTACAGAGGCTGCCTTCGCAGTAAATATTGACAGCTAGCGGTTAAAATGGGTACTGCAGTCCAAATTCAAAATTGTCCCTGCGTCCCAATGTTCATACTAGAATAAGTGTGTCCCAAAGCATACTATGTTGAAAAGAGTATGTCAAAAGTCCCCGGATGGTCTACTATTTCAGGTAGATTTTTGTAGTGTGGATCCGTGCACACTCTAATGGCTAATATTGCCCACAATCCATTGCGCTTTGGCAAAGGATTCGGTTCAGAACTACAAACACGAATGAAAAAGCGTTAAACTACAAACATGGCGGATGTGCGCGACCGACGGTTATAAAGGTGCATTCACGCCATATCGGAATTCCCGTAATTACTAGATTCCAACTTGTAAAAAGCGTTCAGGTCCTTGTAGAACTCGTAATTACAACTTGTGAACTGGGAGTTTTCTGAGCGCTACGACTTGTACCACGTGACCGCTGTACCACCTGACCACCGCAGGCTCTGTTTAGGCGTTGATAGTGTTGCCATAGAAAAGCATAATTCGGAGTCCAAGGACATGAACAGCTCCGAGTAGAACGTCACGTGCTGTCATCTCGAAATTACGGTAATTACATTATGGCGTGAATGTAGATAAAGGGGTTTAAGTTACTAATAATCAACATTTAACCTGGTAAAAATATATTTATTTAATGTTATCTATTTTATATTTCATATGCCGAAATACTCTTGTCAAAATACTATTGGGTAAATTGGCAGTGGGTGGAATCACACAGAGCAAAACAAAAACGGACATTCCGACACAGAACGCACATTTCACAGTAGAACAACTGGCGCTAGCGTTGTTTTTCAGAGAAACAAATATGTAAACTTGCCATGTTTCCTAAATGTCTGCAAACATAGTATTTTTATGCTTAAGTACTGTCAAAAAATACATACAGCACCTTTAGACGTCATCACACCGAAGCAGGTAAAAAAATAATCTACTCTCTAGTCCACTTACAGACTCATTATGTTTATAATCGCACTCTTGCAAACTATTATAATCGCACTCTTGCAAACTATATATAAACGTTCAGGGAAAATGTTTTTAAAATGAATCCTTGTTGATTTTTGTTTTGTTTTATCAGCTGTGTGGACTCTCATTCTGACGGCACCCATTCACTGCAGAGAATCCATTGGTGAGCAAGTTACGTAATTCTACATTTCTCCAAATCTGTTCAGATGAAGAAACAAACTCATCTACATCTTGGATGGCTTGAGGGTGAGTACGTTTTCACCAAATTTTCATTTTTAGGCGAACTATTCATTTAATAGTAATGACTCTGAAGTAATGTGACCATGCTGCAGTTCATTTATAGCCTATGTTTAGCTTTTTTACTTCTGCTGACTGTATTTAAGCTTTAAATTTCAGAAAATCTGTGTTCATTTGTGAGGATTATCACGATGAACAAAATGTGTTAGAATCATGATCAATATTTTCTGCAGTAGCCTAATCCAAAAACCAATGGAAAAAATCCCATTGGGTTTTTTTTTTTGAGAGAGAGAGAGAACCAGACAGATGTCAACTTAAGGGTTGGCCTACAAAAATACATAATCACCACAAAACTCTATAAAGACATGGAATCACTCACAATGCAATCACTCATGAGTCTCACCTCATATGTGTAATTTGGGCATGAAACAAGTGCAAATATCCATGTAAATGGATTCTTGGTTGGATAAGGAATCTTCTTAATCTTGCAACCTTCATAAAGAACAATTTAATGCGTTACATGAACAAAACCAGAGTGGCTGACTTGAGATTTGTGATTTATTTAATAGATCTTACTAGGTAGTTTGAGATTACGCAGAGCCATGTGAATCGAGAAGCTGCCAAGTTGACAGAACTGCAAAAATAAGAAATCATTAAGTGAAAAACACTATGAAGACACAGTACAGGAGGGGTCAGTGCAGTTAAAGTGCTTACTAGAAAGATAGCCAGCGCTGCCTTCACCTGCTTCTCCCCATAATCTGCACGGAAACAGACAGTTCAGTGCATTTAACATCCATGTTAACCTGGTTAAATAAAGGGAATGAATGAAATGAATGTAACATACATGGCGGTGTGTAAAGAGGGTGATTGATGTAATAAGCCATCCATGCCGCAAAGCACCAGTGATAGGAACAGTTCTGTTGAAGAAACAGTCACATGTGATTTACAGACTTCCTGTTTGCAATATATAAAATAACTGTAATTTCAGTGATTATTCCTTTTATTTAGCATTTTTGTCGACTGTATTGAAGGCATGATCTAATTTTCATAAAGTGAAATTTCCTCCAACACTGGGAATCAACTTAAAAACTGTTGAATGAGTGCTGTTTTCTTTCCTCTGTTGATGCATTTTCTAAGTAAACATGCATCAACAAATGTTGGGGCATGACAGCAATGAATATTATTTGCATTTGATTGTACTACAAACAAATATTGTCTATGAGTCATCGATATTCTTTGATTGTTTTCCTGGACGTGAAGGTCTGTATTTGAAATGTCTGCTTAATGTTATCGGTCTCATTTAGGAGTATAGATGACCTCGAAGGTCCAAGCCACATAAAAACGATTTTTTATTTCCTAACTGGAAATGCTAAAAAACAAAACAAATCCTAACATGTATCAGTCACACACTGGATTTAAATAAGGGAACTGTCTGTAGAAAGTAAATATATTCAAATATGTTTCACTTAAGTCAAAACATGCACACTACAGTTCAAAAGTTTCAGCATATCAGAATGATTTCTGAAGGATCGTGTGACACTGAAGACTGGAGGAATGATGCTGAAAATGCAGCTTTGCATCACAGGAATAAATTACATTAAAAAAAATATTCAAATAGAAAATAGAAGTTAATTTTTAAATTTTAATAATGTTTCACAATATTAATGTTGTGTACACAATATGAATTGTAGGTGAGTATAAGACTTTTTTCAAAAACATAAAATTGTATCAACCCCAAACTTGTGAACGCTATGTATATACATATAAATTAAACCGAAAAACACACACTCTTGCGAGGCGTCCTCACTTTGAAAATGTTGCGCAGTGGCATGGTGCTGTGGGATAAGCGATGGACGAACAACGTCTCCACGATTCGCTTCATGTAGTGGAAGGAATGACACACACAGGCAATACTGTGAAGAACAGACAGAGTTCAGTTTAATACCAGATGATTAAATACAATTTGCTTTTCAACATAATTCCCAAAATACACTTCTGGGCCAGTATCTTAGTTGACCAGTAAGTCAGCTGTTTTGGTGACACTGAATCCAACAGACTAAAAGAAAAATCACATCTGATGGCAGTGTTCTTCATGATACTTACGGAACAACCAAATGCTTACTGGCGGTGAACTCGTACTTGGGAGCGTAGATTAAAGGCAGTCGAAAATAAAACAGCAGATATATGACAAGTGGTCCAATGCACTCGATTAGGAACACCTGCAAACACACATTCACAAACAGATTTTAATTCTGGAATGTGAAACAGGATATTCAAGAAGAAAAATGTAGATCAATACTTGATTTTATCTAGTGACTGGATGGTGAAAATTGGGCAAAGACAAACATTTTTTATTTCATAGATCATGCACAGATGAATGGGCCCTTTTCACAAATTATTATTAATATTGCATTATTGCATAATTATTAAGTTATTAATATTGCAAATCTTGCAAAGTTATTTATATTTGAATTTTTTTTTAATGTAATGTACATTAATAACACCATACTACAGAAACCTAGTTAACACTGCTGCACGAGTTTTTCTAATACAATAACTGAGATATTGATGGCACATTTGACATCTTTCTCTCTTCTGACCTTCATAATCAAGCTCTCAATATTTTTGTTCTATTTTGTAAAGTCATAGAAACGCTATCATGGATTTTTTTTCTTTGCTGTACAAATGAGAATACAAAATTTGCTGAAATTTGTTGTATGTGAAACAGGATATTCAGGAAGAAAAATGTAGATTAGTACTCAATCTTATCCATTGACTGGATGGTGAAAATTGGGTGTTACAAAGGCAAACGTTTTTTTTTTTTTTTTTTTTTTTTTTTCATAATACGAAAGTAAACACAACTGATTTCGATTCATATATATACTGACAACTACCTTAAAAACACAGAAAACATCTAAAGAACACCTAAAGAAAAAGCTACATGATGAATCAAAGCTCATCACAAGCAGCTTTTCACAAGATATAGAAGACACTCCATCATGATAACAAACATGACGCTAAAATAATGCAACAAACATTAATTTAAAGGGGTCATATGATGTGATTTAAATTTTTCCTTTCTCTTTGAAGTGTTACAAGCTCTTGGTGCATAAAGAAGATCTGTAAAGTTGCAAACACTAAAGTCTCAAATCCAAAGAGATATTTAGTTTTTTAATTTTATATTTTATTTTTAAATAAATTTTTATATTTTTCTCGCTGTAGTATTGTTGTTGCCACCACCACCATGTCGTGAATGCGCTGTGTGTTTCGTTGTGAAAGAGAAACTACTTTGTTTGGCCTTCCAAAAGAGGACGATATCTGCTTCGTCATGCCTGGATGTATTTACAACACTGTTCCAAGGAAATACATCAACTTCGCGCTGTGGATAGCCGGATCGGCTTTCACCGTTGATGAAGCGGAGTCCAGCCTGGGGTC